ACCCACCCAATCTGCCACGAATCAGCTTCATGGTGTGAGGCTGGCAAGATTATTTAAAGCAGGGGCAGGGAATGCCATCAATCTTCACATTTTGTTGGAATGCAACTCCCTTCATCCCTAGTAAGCATGGCAGTGATGAGGAATCATGGCAGTTACAGCCCAAGATCTAAGGAGACACATGTTCTCCATCCCTTCTTCAAAGCTATGGGTACAGCTGAAATTCTTTGGTAAGCTCCAGCAGCTCCAGATATTTGCAATGTGATCTTGAGTGCTTCTTTTCAGAATCCAGCTTGAACAGCAGGCATTTCTCACTTCATGTAAGGTAAAAGCCTTTGTTGCAACACTTTGAACATCACTTTGCTTGGGAAAAGGACCATTGTTTCAATGGGAAATTAAAGCCATAGTCCTATACTGTAGTTACTGCACTCCTTGGCATCTCCCTTCATGGGGAGTGGAATGTTTTTTGAATGTTTCCAATCTGTGGGCCATTGTTTTGTTATTCATATTTGTGGACATATACTTGTTAGGATTTTGAAACTACTGTATCCGTCTGTGTTGCTTGAAATAGTTACAGTATATTGGTATTCCATCTAGTCCTGGTGATTTATTCTTCCTAGTGTTTTCAGAGCCCCTTTCACTTTATTTTCAAGAACTGCAGGTTCTTCATCATAGGATACCTCTTCAAAGGAGTCTGACATCAATAGTCTTCAATATACTGTTTTCACCTTCTCTTTGTTTTCTCCTGGTCAGATAGTGTGCTTCCCTTTTGATCATTTAACATTCCTAATCTATGCCTGAATTTCCCTTTGATTCTTGGATCTTTCTGGAATAGATATCTCTTTTTCCCCCTTTTGTTCTCCTCTACGATTTGCACTGGTTATTGTAATATATCTCTTTGTCTCTATATGACAGTTGCTGAAAAACTGCATTCAGGGTTCTCACTCTATTTCTGGGATCTTTTATTTTTGCTTCTTGCCTGTCCTTCACAATTTTAAGTGTTTCTTTGATCATCCATCTACATTTTTTTTCTTTTTACTACAGCAATTGTATTTTTGCATTTTTCCCTAACCATATCCTTAACTTCAGTCCACAGCTGTTCTGGTTCTTGGTCAACTGAGTTCAGTAATGCCAATCTGTTCCTTTTGTGGACTTTGTTATTGAAATTATATTTTGGCACTATCAATCTTTTAGTGTTCTTTTTCAGCTTTACTATGTTTGATATTAACAATTCATGATCACTACCCACAGTCTGTTCCTGGTCTTGTTCTGGCAGAGAGAATACAGCTTCTCCATCTCCTGCTTCCAATTACATAGTCGGTTTGATTTCTATATTAACCTTCAGGTGATATCCACATGTACAGCTGTCTGTTTGGTTGCTTGAAGCATGTATTTGCAGTTAACAGATTGCTGGCTTCACAGAACTCAGTGAATCATTTTAATGCTTCATTTCTGTCCATAGGCAAAGCTTTGCAACAACTTTTGGTTGTGCTTTGTTCCCTACATTTGCATTCCAGTCACCTATAATTATAAGCATGTATTGCTTTGATGCGAGGTCAGATTCCTTTTGGATGCTTGCATAAAAGCTTACAATTTCATCTTCTTCAGCATTAGTAGTTGGAGCATAGACTTGAATGAGGGTTATATTCGTATGTTTTCTACAGTCTGATATTATTCTGTCAGACCTTGCATTATAGCTCCTAACTGCCTGTGGTGCATCATTCCTCAGTATTAGAGCCACTCAATTTCTTCTGTTTGTCATTTCCAAAATAGAACACTTTGTAGTTGTCTGACTGAAAATATCCTCTTCCAATACACTTTAGTTCACTGACATCAAGAACTACAATGTTTATATGTTCCATTTCTTATTTTAAGACTCCCAGTTTACCTTGATTCATACTTCTCACATTCCATGTTCCAACTGTATGTGTTGTGCAGCATACAGTTTTACTTTGTGCATATCAGCTACTAGGTATCCTTTTGGCTTTAATCTAGTGTCATTAGCGAGAGAGCTATTTGTACTTGTCTTTTTCTTTTACCCAGTAGCTGATTTGACTGCTTTCCACCTTGTGAGTCTCATCTTCTAGCACCATCTCTTCTTTCATTTTAGACTGTCTCATCGTACAATTTTCATGGTAAGGAAAATTCAGTAGCAGTTTACCATAACTGCCTTCTGCACAGTACTAACAAAAGTTAGCTTGAGTGTCACCACAGGAAGTGTTGCTTTAGGATGGAATTCCTTTTGTTCAGATCAAGCAACATTCCTGCTCCTTGTGCTCATCCGAAATCTCTGTCTCCTAAAAAGAAATGAGTAGTCAAGTAGGAGGAGACAACCAAAGAAGCTTGCTTGCCCATCTGGTCATTAACTTGAAAGCACAGTCTGGAGCAAAAAGAGACTGATCCACCTCTTCCTGCCTTCTTTTATCCAAATTACCATATTTTCCATGTATAAGACTACACTTTTGTCTAAAATCTTTAGACTGAAAATTGAGGGTTGTCTTATACACGGAAGTAAGCTGAGGAATGAGAAAAACAAGTGGAGGGGAAAGCACAGATCAAAGTGATCCTGCAGGGCTTTAACCCCTGCTTTCCCCTCCACTTGCTAAGCCTTAGCAAAAGGAAAGCAGAGATCAAAGCGCTGCAGGATGGCTTTGATCCTTGCTTTCCCCTCTGCTTACTAACTCCCATGGGGCTTAGCAAGTGTAGGGGGAAAGAATCAAAGCAATCCCTTGGCTGTATAAGGGGGAAAGGGATCAAAATGATCATGCAGTCATGGGATTGCTTTGATCCCCTTCCCCTCCTTTTGCTAAGTCCCGTGGGGCTTAGCATGAAGGGAGAAAGCAGGGATCAAAGCGATCCTGCAGTGCTTTGATCCCTTTCCCCCTACACTTGCTAAGGCCCACTTAGATCTCTTAATTTTGGTTTAGAAAAGTGGGGGGGGCGTCTTATACACACAAAAATACGGTAGCATTTGGGAAGTCGGGAGAAACAAAACAAGAGGGCTGTATTTGGAAGCTTTATCTGTCAGTATTTGAAATTTTATGTTTTATAAGAATTTAAAACATTCTTATGTTTTATTGGGGGGGGCAGTTTGCAGGAAAAAAAGCCTTAAAAGCAAAGTGCAGTTTAAAACTACAGCTTGCCACTGCTGCTATGTGTAATCTCATAACACTTCTAAATGTACCCAAAACAATTGACTGCAGACCAAGGTTACGGAACATGTAAACAATTTTGTGACAGTTAAATGTGGAATATCTTTCATTGAAGTAGTACCGTCTTTTGTAAAAGTATTAATATCTGAAACCTGGGAAATTGGACAATGCATTGTAATTAAGTATCAAAAACGAAGGTACCATTTTCCTAAAGTTTTAAGGTAGTCAAAATATAAAATGTTACAAAAACAATTTTGTCAACTTTAGGAAACAGAGCAGGATCTGGGTCAATTGAGATTTGTATTAGACAACAATATGTAGAAATTCTTACAAGCAGAAAAATCCTAGTAAAACGAGATAAGAGGAAATGAAAACAATTGAGAAGAGTTATAAATATGGTGACAAGGCACACAAAGTCATGAATGAATAGCAGTGCAACAGCAGATGCTGGCAACAACCAAATGGATTTTACATTAGGCTGGGTGAGAAAATGTTTTTCTGCATGTTCTTAATGTGCTTAGAGGATAAATAATATATTTAAAAAATATTTTTACTGTTAACAATTTTGATATTTTCCCTTGTTTTTTAAATAAGGCTTATAATACCTTTTAACCTTTTAATAATGTTCCTATTTACGAGATGTACTCTTTGCCTTAATAAGCTAAAAGCTCCTGTATTTTCTAAATGTAACTTAATACATTCTTTCCGATTGTATTTGCTTCGATATATTGACTAAGTATCTGCCTAAAGCTTAAATTAATTTTTTAAATTTTATTTTTAAGTGTATATTCTTATATCTTTGACCTGGCTGTAAGATGTTTGGATGTTACAACAACTCTGAAGTAATTTTGTACATATAAAACTTAGAAATTATATAAATAAAGAAAGGTTGATAGACAGGCAAGCTGATGTTGTCTGGAATTATTGCAACAGTTAAAAGTTGTATATCTTGACACTCAGATGAACACTGATATGATTGTCTGTGACTATTTGATTTCATTTTGGTATTAACCCTTTATTGGGATAAATGGCAGCTGTGATGAACAACAGGCTTCTGATGTTTTCCCAGGGAGTCCATGTATCTCTGTAGGATTCCTGGGGGAATCAAGCACCTTTTCTGGGTTCTGACATCTTTCTCTAAGTCTCAAGCGGTTTGCATCAAGGAAGAGCCTTTACTGTCTTGCTGGAGATTAAGTGAAATAGTAGCTGAGATCCAGTATATTGATATGAATATCCTATGTATATCTTCTTAGGATCAAAAAAATCCTAATTTGCACGTTTGAGGGGCATTTTATTTTTGTAACAGATAAACATAAACATATATCTTTTATTATGTTTTTGTTGTGTGTAGGCAGTAAAGCCAAGCCACGTTGTCTGGCTCCAAACATGCCTTCAGAAGGGCCATTCCAAGCTCTTGCCAGGCAAGTACTAAAATGACCTTTCAAGCAACACTTCACATATAGCAACTCTTTACACCAGATAAAGTATTCCTCCCATGTCAAAGTTCTGAACAAAGGGAGATTTGATACCAAAGTTTTGCCTAGAATAACTAGAATTCTCTCTCTAGACAAAACCTTACTATATATTCTTGGAAGTGCTCCTGAAACCCCATGATTTGCTGTCAGATTAGCAAATCAGATTAGCAATCAGATTAGACCATGAGTGTTTGGAACAGGAAGGCTGCATTCTCATGTGCCTCTGCCTCTCCAACAGTACGTGAAGTCTTATTTGGGGAAAGTTCTGTAACCCAAGAGTTACACAGCCCAGAATGAGCGGGAGAGAAGAAAAGCCAGATGGTATGGCAATGAAATAACCAGTAAATCAAATGAAATAAAACAGTAAAATAAGCTCCGGAGGCTGCCATTTTAGATGCTTGTAATAGATTTTATTTGCAGGGCTGTATTCAGTTAACTCCAGTCCAATCACATACCTCTGCAACCCATAGAATGAAGAGGAATAGCGAGAGCGGCCACAGCCCAGTGAGTTTAAGAAATCTAGTCAAAACACAAACCCATGTCACATGTCCTATCAGCAATAACTAGGACCAAATGAAGTGTTTCCAAACACTTGGCCAACAAAGCCCACGATACTTCTGCCATGGAAAATAGAGAGACCACATCCCTCATGGCAGCTGTCTGGGTGCCAGGCCTACATGCCCATAATGAGGACCGGGGTTTGGGGGCACATTTTGCTGTGGTGATAAAAAAAAAATGGAGGAAGGTCTAAAACACAACGCTTTCTGTCCAATAACTCAACAGATGATGTAAATACCTTCCTTGTTTCTCTGTAATAAAGCTGACAAAAAAAGTACCTTGGTGACAATAGGTCAGCCATGGAGATCTCCTGCTGAACAAAAGAACCAGCCACACCCTAAAACTGCCGGCCGAGATGCTAGGGAAGATTTGGATTGTGAAAGCACATCTCTGAACAGCTGGGAATGGAGGACCTCACACATTTGAGAAATAAAGAGCTTAAGGACACTGCTAAAGTGTTTATGTGGACAGTGGGCAAATCTGACTTCTCGAGGAAAGAAATGTTTTGGATGCATCAGTTGCACCGTTCCTGGTTCATGGTGGAGTAAGACAAAGCTCCAAGATACAAATGTCACCTTTAGCTTTGCCCTGCTGGGATGATATTCAAGTTATTAATAGGCAAGAGGAAGGTAGTTGCAAGTCTTGCCTCTTCACAGGTACAGATATCAGGAAACAACTTCAAACATAAAGGGAAGATGGCATGTGGAGAACCAAGGCAAGGAGTTGCTTATGAACCTTGCCTGCCCAATGCAGACACAGCTCAGATTATGTTGTCCGAGATGGTGTTCGCTTCCAGAGCAGGAAGCTATCTGTTCCCCACTATGCTTGATTTGGGTGAGACTGACTCTTCCTGTTGCTTAGATGTGAAGCATCAGGGAAAAGCAGTCAACAAAGCGCTTTAATTTGACATTGTTAAGGCTGAGCTGGACAAGGAATAGGTCAACAGGGAACCAGAGACACCCGTAACCAACTTGAGAAGGTTGCTTTCTCTTCTTTCTAGCACCAAGGTGCTTTGGGGCTTAGCCAGTGGCTCTAAGACCACTGCATATGCTGTCCTTGCAGGTCACTCAATTTGGAAGCTATAATTAGGAGGGCAGACTGCAGTGACTCAGGCACCACTGACCCAGTAACTCTGGGGCTAAATGCAAAGCATGTCAAGACAGCAACATTAGGCAAGCCAGCCCTGGGGGACCGAGTCATCCCTTCAACACTGCTGCCTAGCCTCACTGACTGATTTAAGGCTGGGGAAGCTTGTATCATGCAAGCTAACGGGGGCATGGCCACACTGCCATGTGCCCATAGAGCTGATGAGCCACCCGTGCAACTGCAGCTCAAGGGAAACATGACCTCTGGCTTTCTGCAATACTGAGAGCAACAAAAAGACAAGGCAGCAGCAGTGGAAGGGCTGTTGTCATCTTCTCCCCAGGGATTTCCAGATCCACCTGCAAGCTACCACCCTCGGAATGGCACTGAGTGCTTGTGATAGGGGTCGCTCCCCCACTTGCCCATTCTGCCCCGCCCCGCATGGTGCATCATCCCAGGAGGAAGAACAGTCCTGCCTGGCTAAGGGTTTGCCTCTGTATTTCTGCCAGCTGGTCTTTAATGGCCGCCCTGAATGCCAAGCCAAATGGGGCCTAGCTACGAGGGAGGCTACACATCTCGCAGTGATCTGTGCCTGGCTGGTTCATGAAGGTGCAGTGCTGACAGGCCCACATGGAAGAGGTTGCTGCATGTGTTGAGCCGCCCATGGCACCATACTCTTGGAGTCCTGGCAGCTGAACGCCAACGGTGCCTGAAAAGCAACCAGGAGAGGGTCAGGAAGGCTCCAACAAGTCGGGACATTTTCACATGGAGGCATGACAGAGACTGGTACATTTCTATAGTTAATGCACTGCCTCCCTCATACAACAAGCCACATTCCCACTCACAGCCTTGTCCGACTGCACACGCTTTCCTAATTGTATCACCTGTGAGTTTCTTTTTGAATTCCTAAATTATTCCTGAACAGATGATTCACTCTTGCCTGTCATGTTCCACATACTTCTCTTTCTTTGGCCAGACAGGTCACTATAGCTGGCACAGCATTCAAGTCCTTTCCACTCTTATCAAGTTGTTCCCCAAATGACTGAAGAAACTTAAATCCCAGATTCCAACACTTTGCAATCTGATATAGGTAAGTTTACCCAGTACCTCTCTAGTGAGGTAACTTAAATCTAAGGTTCAAGAGAAAACCACGTAATACATACTGCACAGTTGCTCAATGGTGGCCCACTGCTCAGATTTCTTCCAAGTCTGTGCAAGCTCTTCATTTCGGGTCCTTACTGCATCCAGCAACAAGCTGATGCTATCCTGTAAGAGACAACAGATTACCCCACAGCTAGTCCCCTTTACATGGAAGATATACTGTATAATACAGTGGAAAGTGGGTTTTTTAGGAGGAGGGACAGAAAGAATCTCTGCCTTTCAGATCTGCTGCCATTCCTTACTACGTATATTATTAACATAATTAGCCATTTAACTAAACTAAGACAGTGTTGAAAATAGTGATTTACAGCCCAATGACCAATATCTACTCTCCATCCCTGCCTTGGGTCCTTTTAAAGAGAAAGGCGGGGTAAAAATATCTTAAATAAGTACATAAATCGCTGCACAGGTATCTAACAGCTATTTTAAACCTAGAAACAACACTGGTGGCTGCATGGATGCCATTCTCTCAACATGTCTGGAAAGGCTACTGACTGAAGTACTGTGTGTATAGAGCTAACAAAACGAGATGTTCGCTGGAAGTGGGAAGTATTTATCAGCATGAATTATAAACAGTCAGGACAGCACACAAGATTGCTGTGGAGGCGAGTGTGTAATTTGTAACAAACAGATGGGCACAGCAAGGTACTTTCTCATTTAAAGGCAACTTTTACCTGGCAAACATAGGCAGCAAATTACAGGGATATAATAAGGCAACTACTGTATGATCAAGGTAGCATTTTGTGTGACGTATCAGCAGAGGGCGCCAGGCACAAGTTATAATGAGTAAGAAACGTGGCATTTACACTTGGCATTTATGTATTATCATTGCTGATATCTCAGTCTAACATGATACTGCAAACCATCCTCAAGAGGCCAACAACAAAGGTAAAAAGTACATCTGTTTCCATTGGCTGCATACTTGTCTCCATACCACAAATGTCAGGGTTTTTAATATATAAAAGGAAAATATACAACCATACAGCAATGTAACAAGCCATAAATCTGGCTGGTCCTAATCTCCAACTGCCCACTGGCAGCCCAGCTGTTCTGCACATGCTTAATGTTTATAGTTCCTGAACTCTCTGCAAAACACATGGTGTGTGTGTGTGTGTGTCTTTTGGTGTGTACTCTTTTTTCCAAATGAGGAAGAAAAGTTACAGATGTTATAACCAGAGCTTTGTATGCAGCTATGCTCCAGCTGTTAAGCCAATAAAAGGGGATGTAGGCGTGAGGGGAGAAGCAAATGCAGGAAATTTCTGGACTTGGTGACTGATCTTGTGACCATTTACAACAGGAATTTCTGATTCAGAGAAATTTTAGAACATTTCCAGTTGTTGATGCAGCCTCCACGTTGACTTCATCTCGCCTAGGATCCTGAAGCAAACAGGACTGAGTTACAGCTCCAAATTATGCCAGGGCAGTGCCTGGAGGGCCGAAATCCTACTCTATTGGGGCATATTTGATACCAGCCTTTCAAAGGCCTTTCAAAAGCAAGGAGATTCTGATGTTTGAGAAAAGGCTTTGCCAGATGAACAGAAGGTTCACCTTCCCTAAAAACATGCCAGATACTAAAGTTTAGAGACCAGAGCTGTTTAGCACCTTTCTTTACAAGCTCTCATACCAGTCTGTAGATACAATTCCTTCTCATTACATACCCTCAAGGGCATCACTTCATTGGTGACCAAGAACAGGAGCAGATGGAAATCAGAGATGATGTCAAGAAACACAGCGGAGGTGTTCTGGGACAAATATGTAGCCAGACTATGAAAGTCCTGTAAAGATTGTGAAGATTATTATTATTTCACAATTCTTATGATCTTTAAACCGTCTCATTACATTCATATTAGCCAAACTCCAACATTCCTTTACATTTGTTAATGTAAACAGTACTACTGTTCAACAATATATTTTCTAGGCAGCTTGGGTTATTCCGGTACAGTACATGAAAATCTAGTGGGATGCATTCTCAAAATTGGCAACAATTCCCTATATTAAAATAGTAAAATAGATTCCAGTGAGAGAATCCTGGAATGACACCAACATGTTAAAAATGTAAGTAGAGAAAAACAGGAATATTTTTGTCTGACTTTTGCAATTCACAGCCAAACTAGAAAGTGCACTGGAAAGAAGTGTAACTTTTTCACACTTGTATGATGCCTGTGCCCAGACAAACAGATTTGCAATATCTTTCAGTTCTTAATTTTGCTGTCTTTCTGGATTATGAAAGCAATCGCAAAGAGCAATGAGGAAAGTTTATATGAATAGCATTTATGAACATCTGGCTTACTTCCATGAAAAGGCATGCTAACAGGACATACAAAGTTGGCTTGATTCTCCTGCCTGAGGTCAACACGGCACCTCCTACTCTTTCACAGACAAAAGCCAAACAGACTAGCAATTCACTCTTCTTCTAATTCTGACTACAAAACATTTTCTACTACACCCAAAGTGCAGAAGGTTAATGCAGAAAGCACAGGGCAGGCCATGTGGCACGCACAGCTCTATCCTCCAGCACGTCATCACCACCACCACCTTCCTCTCTCTCTGTCTCAGCACATGCCATCTGAGGTGGCTCCCTCACATTGCCTATCAGCAGGACCAGACCTGAATGGATGCTTCAGGAAAGGTTCATAAGGGCAATTACAAACAGATCTACTACTTGTAATTTGATTTAGGGACATCTTAAGCATGAGGCTTTATCTGTGGACTTTCCTAGCTGAAAGGAGTTGCCAAGGTAACAAGAGTGAAAGGCTGAGCTGGACTAAAGTATTTCTAGATCCAGCAGTTCATAAAAGCTCCATAAATATAGGCTCAACCTGAGGCAGCAAGAGCCAAAGAAAAAAATGTTGGCGTTCTCTCTCTGTATCCATAGTCTCATCTTCACAATGTTCACACTTTTCTTTAGTCATACACTGCAGGCATCCTTTTGTTCAAGCAGACATATGCAGCAAAAAGCTACATACGCACACACATAAACAATGTGCAGTGGGAAGAGTTATTATTGGTAGACAAAACTGAACCTTTCTCTAAAATAAAATGTAAATTTATACATCAGTGCTTACAGTACAAAACCTTTCTCTTGCAGTCACCTATGGAAGCTCTGTCCCATGTTCTGATATGCATATTTTCCATTACTAGTGCTATTTTCCATTATTACGTGCAATTTGTCCCTACAGAACTCTTCTTCCTACACACAAATTCAGCACAAGAAGAAACTAGAAAAAGAGCTAAAATGGGAGCTTTTTAGACTGCATAACATCTGCATCTAACCAAAATTTTATGTACTATTGTATGATTATTAAATATTAACACAATCAATTTAACTGTATAGCCACCCTTCCACAAGCTGACCATGGTTTCCATACCTGAGTTTCTCCCAACACATCACGATTCTCAATAGGGAATGGATTTTGAGAGATAGAAAATGTATAAACTGGATCTTTGGGGAACGTGGTAGTAATCTTTAAAAAAACAAACAAACATTTAGATGAAACTGATATAACCCAGGCACTGAAAAAACATGCACAAAAAACACAGCAAAAGCACAGATATATAAAAAAGCTATGGCTGAGTATCCTCAATGCCTGAAGAATTCAGATACCCATCTAGGAAAGTCAGACACAGAAATGTTGGAGTGAAATTTCTTACTCTTTTTACATTTACACACATTGAGCTGAATGTGTTTGTTTTTACCCAGTACACAACTGTATGTTGCATGTGTGCTTTTTCTTTCTCTGCATTTGCACAAGGAAATATTCAACACCCCCTTGCATATGTGGAAGCACTGTTGCTTTTAATGGGGAGACCTCACCTAACTGCAAGCCAGAGATCATGTGGATACTACATCCACGGCCATGATACCCTGTGTTTTCTAACACGATTCTGCCCATTCTTGTTTAACCTGCACCTCCTTTCTCAAGGAAATACTTCACTAGGCACAGCTTAACCAAACAGCTCACAGTAAGGAATTCAATTTCAAACAGCGAGGCTTATTTGGGAACATGCAGGCTTGCATGGGGTGACTGAGAGTTCTCTCACTACCTGGTGCAGACACTGTCAAAACTACCAGGCTGAAATCTTTTGGAGTTCAAACTTCTGGTGCTCTTCCCCTACTAAATGAACAATGCCTATTTCTAAACAGTCTAACTACTGTAACACAAAGAGCTCTTCTTCTGAAGGGTTTGTAACTGGTGCTAATATGAGGTTGCTATGACTTCTGCATCCCTTTTTGTCCAGAAATAAAAAGCCCATGATTCTCATCTGAAGATTGAGATTGGTGAAGTTAGGCAAATACTACAGGCTGTTGAATTTAAAACTGAGGAGTTGTCATATCCTGGCAGAGAATCTACGGAGCAGGTAACCTGACTAACAAAAAGCTTTTAAATCTGGGATCAGCACAATTTGTAACCAACACCAAAGGTGCAAAAATAGCTCAAGTTATATGAGATTTTTTTAAAAGGCAGAATTCTAAAGACAGCTTTCAGGAATTTAGTTTTATCTCTTTTCAGACACTTCCTTAGTGTATGTTCTGTCAGTCTCTTTTCATCTTAATTATACCCCAGGTAGCTGAAATACAGATGCCTTTGCTTCTTGGTTAATATATGTGTTTCTGGGCTGTCAACTGGAGTACAACGTCTGCAGGCTGAACACAATGGTCACCATTGTGGGAAAAGCAATATCTCACTGCATGAATCTGACTATAAATTCCTATAGCCCAGACTGAACTCTGAGCAGCAACATAAATGCATGAACAAGGAGGAGGAACAAGTGAAAGCCTGCAGCCACCATTAAATCCTGCTACAATGAACCTATCTGGCTTTAGCAGAGAATGGTCCCCCTCTGTATCTTCTCTGTTACAAGTCTTCCTCCATTTTGTAAAATGTCCCCTCTTTTCACTCTAATGCTAAATCCAAGGACTATGGGCATGTTTATGGGGATTATCAGACATTAGGATATGCAGGAAGATACTGTACTATAGATACCCAGTCTTGTCCATTGACAAAAAGTTAATCCATTATCCTGCAGAAAGGGAGGGAGTTGGGTTCTCACACCCAAGCTGAAGAGTCACCAGCAGTCAAGTCCCACATCTGGGTCACTCCCTGTAAGCAGCAGGCTGGTTACTCACTCCTCTTAAAGGTACAGTAGACACTTCCTAACAAGTTCCTAGTGATGTAATCACCAGCGTCTTTGTGGTGTGTGTGTCCGTTTCACCTTGTCTAATGGTAAACATCATTTTATAAGAGCACTGAGATGCTCTGAGAAAGTATAAGAAGAAATCTAAATGCTTTCCTGAGGTTTCACACAGCTACCAATCCGAAGCAAACCTCCACCCAGCAAATATCTTAGTACCCACCTAGTAAATATCTTCTAAGCATGAGAAGGGAAATGTAAAGAAAACAGTGGAAAAGGGGGAAATTCCAGGTTTAAATTTTGGACAAATTTTGTTACTTTTGTTTCTCTCTGTAAAAGGAAGCGACAGTCAAAATGGGTACTTACATCTATGATTAGGTATTCAACAGGAAGAGGACGAGCTAGCTGAGTGATCTCATTGCCAAATTTGTCTATATCCTGAAACAAACAGAAGTCCATTGGTTAGCAGAGAATTATGAGGGATGGTAGATCAGATTATTGGTAGACTACATGCTAAATGTTAGCATCAGCTCTTGAAATAGATCCTTAAACTAGGTAAACTTTGTTTTGATACAGCAATATAAATATACAGTAAAGCATATATTTATATTCTTAAGGAAGACTGCAAATTTAACAGTGTGGTATGGAGGACAGAATGACCAACTAGGACTTAGGAGGGCTGGGTTTGAATCCCCACTCAGACATGGAAACTCACAGGTCCTTGGTTAAGGAGAAAGCAGATCGCAGGCCCTTCATCTGAAACTCTCATATGATAGGAATCTCTCTTCATTCTTAATGATCAGAGCAGCCTTCCTTTATTTGGTGTTTTATCTTAATATGCTGGACTACAGTTACCACCAGATACATTCTGTTGTCTCAGCATGCATGAGTCCAACACACTCAGAAGACACTAGGTTGGGGAAGGATCCGCACTTCATTGAAAGTAAGTACCCCCTGCAAACATTTCATTTCCTGCTGCAGCTAGGCTAAAGGTCCAGTTCTCCAACCCAAAGGGGAAGGGGAAAAAGAAAGGCTTCCTCAAAGTAGAACAGAATCCAAGCTGTACATATACAAACATCATGGCACACCTTGTGCCTACCTTGCATACTCTTCCTCACCTTCACAAGAGACATACTGTAATAGGGTTACTGTATCCTTCATAAAGCATAGAGACATTAAGGAGCTTAGTTAAGGTACATATAAAAGGTGTGGGAAGGAGAGGATACATCCAGTTGCCTGGTGTGTACTAGTGCTGTCTTTGTATCTGAAGAACTCATCAGTCCACCAGTCACTTTGACATACTGCCCTGATGGACCCCAAAGCCTCTTGGGTCTAATTTCCTCCTTGGCCTTCACACAGAAAACACTAAGCTTTCTGGTCATCTTCTTTTGAGCCAAGATACAGGTTCTGCCAAAGTGTGAACTTGTCTCAATTTACTGGATGAACTGAACACAAGTTCGGTTTGGGGGCAGGGTGGGGGTGGCCAGTGTATGTTCATTTATCACAAAGCGGCAATTAGACCTGATTTATGCTAAACCTTTTGAGTTCAAACATTGCTTTAGAAATAAATTCGTAGGAAGAGACACTTTTCATTAAAGATTCTGCACGTGAGGGTTGTATTTCCACCTAAATAATCACATAACAGGATATAAATCATTAATTCAGCCCTATATAAATAATACATTTGTAATTTCCAATGAGAGACCCTACATAAAAGTTTATACTTGCTAAGCTTTCACAAGCAAATGTGGTTATGAAGCAGATCCCAAGGACAAGTACTGTACTCAGATACTGCTGTCAATCTGCAGGTTTGATTTACTGCCAGAAGAACAAGGGGGTGGAACAGAAGAGGAGGAGGAGGAGGAGGAGGAGGAGAAACCACACACGCAAAACTCCTCACACTGCATTGCAGGTGGTCATGTAGGGAAGCTATGTCATAAAATGGACATCTCTCAGGAGTACAGCTAAGTGGCACCCTGAGACAAGAACGTAATTCAGCCAAGATTACAGTTGAAATTTGGTTTGACCCTTATCACTCCCCAGTGAGAGAGCTCCTCTTTTCTTTATGAAAATCCTGACTACAATTTGTTAAACTAACTATATGCCTGGGCTCGGTGTGCTGCACCTAAACTTCTGTGGATATCCAAAAACCGTTTCCCAAATTTTGCCATTTATCTTTGATGTAATGAGGTTGATTGGTTTTTCAGTGGATTTTCATCTGTCTTAATAATGAAGGTATTACACCCCATTTATTTATTTATTTATTGAATTTATATCCCGCCTATCTAGTCAGTTACGACCACTCTAGGCCCCATGCAGTTCAAGAATCCCCACCCCCAATCAGTGGTCAGCCAAAGAAGTACAGTACTGTATAAGCATTCCCAGGTTTGTTGTACATTTTTGTTTATAATGTGACTACTATATCATCCTTGGGCTTTCTAGAAAATAAGCAGTTGTCTGTCTATCTGGGGTTACCACTCACTCTGAAACACAGGTGTTCAGCTTGAGGGTGCTCCTGGATTCGTCTCTGAGCCTGGAGACCCAGGTTTCACCAATGGCCAAGAGTGCACATGCACAGTTAAAACTAGTGCACCAGCTGTGTCCATTCCTGAGGTCTGATATGGCCATGGTAACACGTGCCTTATTTACATCCCAGCTAGATTACTACAGAATGCTGACTGGGTCTGGTTACAGGGATCACATAACTCTCCTGTTACAGCTCCACTGGCTGCTGGTCCATTCTCAGGCACAAGCAAAGTGCTGGTTCTAACCTATAAAGCCCCAGTCTGGGTCCAAGCTATCTCAAAGACCGTGCCTCTCAATATGAGCCTGCTTGGCTCATAAAACCACCAGGAGAGGCCTTTCCCTCAGTCCCATCACTTTCATGGGTGCATTCGGTGGCAACACAGGACATGGCCTTCTGGGTTGCTGCTCCCAGACTTTGGAACTCCCTCCCACAGGAGGCCAGGCTGGTCCCATTTTTGTTGTTCTTCCACAAACAGAATGAAGATTTTTTTCTTCACCGTTTTCTCAATGACTGGCTGTTGGAGTGAGGAGGCCAGGCTGGCCCCATTTTTGTTGTTCTTCCATAAACAGAATGAAGATTTTTTTTCTTCACCGTTTTCTCACCGACTGGCTGTTGGATTCGGAATTTTAAATGAATTGTTATGCCTTACTGCTTTGAATGTGGTTTCAGTACAGTACTGCTTTACCATTTCTCAAGCATACAGTACTGCTTTTGTTTACCATTTCTCAAGTGGTATTTATTTGAACCTTTTTAATATTTGCATACTTATTGTTTTTAGCTTTATTGTATTTTAATGATGTAGGTCACCTTTGTATGCTCACTGTTTTTAGCTTTAAGTACTGCCTTTTTATGATGTAAGCCGCCTTGTGTCCTTTTTAAGGAGAAAGGTGGGCTAAAAATATTTTAAATAAATAAATAAATAGCTGAACATTCGCAACATATTATTATCACTGGATCTCCCCTTTGTATTAAATCCACAACAAGCCCTGTCAGACACCTACCCAAAACATAACTAGGCAGTAGGCCCCCAGGCCTCTTTTGAAAGAAATGTTGATTACAAAGGAAATATTACAGACACCTTGTATTTCTTGAGCAGGACAGCCTGTCTCATATAATGTTGTTGGTAGGAACAAGCCCAGCGGTGTGTCCCTTTAGACATGTTAAGCTCCAGCAGGAGAAGTCTGAGAAAGAAAGATTTAGTGGCTTAAAAGCCCATTTCTTTTTATGAACGTGTCACCATTGCACTTATTCAGAGACTGGATGCATTTACGCTGCACAGGATTTCATGCCATACCAATCCCACTTGTTATGCATACTATCTCGGGGGAAAGATATCTGCCTTTTCCAGGAATGCTTCCAGTGTTTTTTTATTGTGCACTACAGCACCTAGCCAGCAGCTCACAAGCTGCAACTGTGCAGGCATGCCCCTCATCTGCAAAGATTAAAATAAAACCCAAGAAAACTAATGTGCAGACTTGTCCATGCAAGAAACAACTTGACATGTCATCCATGTAATTAGCCCATCTGGAACTCCTCTTCAACTCCAATTATATTCTAACATGCAGAAACAATTTTTTCATCACCTGCTCACATTCATCTTCCCTCTGGGGATTTCCACGTTAAACTTTTTTTCTTAAAAAAAAGTCAAAACCACTAAAATATGAAATATGTCCACTAGTTATCTAAGCTTCCCTGTTCTTATCACATACATGCTTTGTTAATCTGCCCCTCCAAAAAGAAGAAAAATACCTGTGTACCAAACTCTGTTTTATTAGATAAGTACATTTTCAAAGGTCTTGACGAACCTAAGGCTGTAAACCTGCTAGAAAGGAAATGCCCTAATTTGCTGATTTGGCAATGATCACAGCATTTGCATGAGTAATGATTCTGGATTTCCAGCACCAAGGAATGGTACGTGATTTGCTGATCATCAGCAGCTCAATCAGAGGACAGCACAGAGTTAAGTTGCATCTACAGAAGAGCTAGACGGAACCTTACACAGCAAAAGAAACAGTCCAGCTGGGGGAGACTGAAAATGTGGTCTGCAGTTCTTAAAAACACAATTCATCCTCTGGCTTTCAGCTTTACCAATCCAACCAAATAAAGATGGAAAAATTTTAGCAGACACAGAAGACTGAAGCCTTCATTGAGGGCTCACACCCTCCAGGTTCATCCAAGAGTTGGCAAGTTTAGATTTTTAAATATCTACAAACTGAATTGCTATGCAAGAGTTGACACCAATTTAAGTAATAATCAAACCAGCAAAGCTACCTTTTATTTCACTGGATCAAGGGATCAAGCAACCTTTATGGTATATCCAAACTGAAATTGTATTTCATATTGTATGTATAAGATATTTGAATAGATATGGACTGCTGGATAGCTCAGTGGTTTTGGTTTCTGGGAGCCAGAGGTTGGGAGTTCAATTTCGTGCTGGGCCTCCTTGACAGGGGATGGATGATCCAGCGCTGCTGTTCTAAGATTATGATTATTAAGTAGTACCACTTAAAACAGATAGGTGGCACAGCCCACACCATATCTTGAGTTTTCTAGCTGTTTTCTTTCCTTTATTTTCCATCCTATACAGTCAAAGTTTTCTGACATTAAAATGTTTACACTGATGTTTATACAAACCATATAGAAGGCTTATGATGACTTTTCTTTGCCTCTTTTATGCAAATCTTCCTCTGTTTGTTTTACAATTTAAGATTTTTTAAATCAGTTTCTTCATCAATTCCTCCCAGAGTGATTTATGGTAACAAAACAATTACAATGTATAACAAAATCCAGACAATAATAAATGCTTTAGAAGTAAACACTAAAAACAGCAGGAGGCAGAATACAGATACTCATCTGTTTAAAATATACACATGTGTGAAATGTATGGGAAACTAGAAACATTTTTGCTTGG